ATTATTATGTTCAAGTTTGAAAACAATCCATTCAAAAATAACAAAGTTACAGCCAATAATAGCCAAAAAAATGAAAATTTCAATAATTTGACCTTCAAAGTCAAGGTCATTTATGAGTGAAGGTCAAGGTCTGTGTGGTTATTTTTAAGGGATATCCTTGAAGATTATTATGTTCAAGTTTGAAGACAATCCATTCAAAAATAACAAAGTTACAGCCAATAATAGCAAGAACAAGCAAAATTTGGACTTTTAACTTGAAGGTCAAGGTCATTTATGGATGAAGGTCAAGGTTAGTGTGGTCTACTGAAAGGTCTTGTCCCAAGGGATGTTGTGGCCAAGTATGAAGACAATACATCAAGAAATAAAAAAGTTATGATCCAGGTACAAGTTTGCGGATGGCAACAGCAACGGCAACACCGACGCGACTATAACAATACCTCTACTTTTTTTTTCAAAAAAAAAAAGTCAAGCTAAAAAAATGATAAAAGACTATCTAAGAATGCTACAGACAAAGTTTGGCGATCATTCTTTAAAGTGTATAAAGCTATATCTTTCATATTTTATGATCACAAAATTTTTCTTTATATCATGATTAGAATAGATACAGAATACCTAACAAGAGGGCCATGATGGCCCTGTATCGCTCACCTGAATACGTTTGTACTTGAAGGCAACAAAGAATCAACATATTGAAAAATTACTTGGAAACGAATCTATATAATATTGTCCAAAATGTTCTTGACAAGATGTTACCACAAGAATTAAGTATGAAAAATGACTAAAACATTATGCAAACGATAGCACTGCACTTCTCAATGTAATCAATCTATAAAGTTTCAAGTTGATATCTTAATACTTTTTGAGTAATCCCCCGGACAAACAAAATTGGATGATTGACAATTGGGCAGACAATGTTATTTCAGGTTTATGAGTTATTTCTATCGTCCTTTTCTTTTCTTTTTTTTTTTGTGAGCTAACAAATGTTTATGGAATGAAGTCCTTTGTTCTTTATTTTCCTGTATATAGTTAGTTAGCTCCTATGCCCAAAAAGTTACGGATAAGCGGATTCCAGTATACTACCCTTAAAACTGTGGGGCGGGGCCAATATTGACCCTAGGGCTATACATTGAACAATCTTGGTCAAGTTCTGCTAGAGGATGCTACACACTAAATATCTAAGCTCTAGACATTGTGCTTTCTGACAAGAAGATTCTTTAAGATTTTCCTATATAAGTCTATGTGAAATAAATGGACCACTTGGGCGGGGCCAATATTGACCCTAGAGCCATAATTTGAACAATCTTGGTAAAGGTCTGCTACGGGATGCTACACACTAAATATCTAAGCTCTAAACCTTGTGGTTTCCCACAAGAAGATTTTTATGTTTTTCCTCTAAAAGTCTATATTAAACAAGTGACCCCTGGGGCGGGGCCAATAATGACCCTAAGGCTATACATTGAACAATCTTGGTAGGGTTCTGCTAGAGGATGCTACACACCAAATATCTAATCTCTATACTTTGTGGTTTCTAACAAGAAGATATTTTGAGCATATGTTCAGGTGAGCTAAAAATAATGATTCCCCCCCCCCCCCAGACAGGGCCAATTTAACCCAAGGGCTTTTATTTGAACAAACTTGGTAGACACCCATAAGAAGATGTTTTATGCTAAACATCTAAGCTCTAGCTCATTGGATTTTTTAAAAGAAGATTTCAGAAGATTTTTTAAGTTTACTATATACATATAGTTTAAAAACAATGACACCCCTGGGGCGGGGCCAGTTTTGACCCCAGGGCTTTTATTTGAACAAACTTTGTAGACACTTACTAGAAGATGTTTCATGCTTAATATCTAAACTCGAGCTATTTGGGTTTTTTCAAAGAAGATTTTTAAGTTTTTGCTATACACATATAAGGAAAATCAATGACCCCCGGGGCAGGGCCAATTTTGACCCCAGGGCTTTTATCTGAACAAACTTTGTAGACACTTACTAGATATGTTTCATGCTTAATATCTTAACTCTAGCTATTTGGGTTTTTTCAAAGAAGATTTTTTTAAGTTTTTGCTATACACATATAAGGAAAATCAATGACCCCCTGGGGCAGGGCCAATTTTGACCCCAGGGCTTTTATTTGAACAAAATTGGTAGACACGCATAACAACATGTTTCATGCTAAATATCTTAACTCTAGCTCTTTGGGTTCTTTAAAAGAAAATTTTTTAAGTTTTTTACTATATGCATATAGGGAAAATCAATGACCCCCTGGGGCGGGGCCAATTTTGACCCCAGGGCTTTTAATTGAACAAACTTGGTAGACACTCATTAGAAGATGTTTCATGCTTAATATCTTAGCTGTAGCTCTTTGGGTTCTTTAAAGGAAGATTTTTTTTAAGTTTTTACTATATGCATATAGGGAAAATCAATGACCCCCTGGGGCAGGGCCAATTTTGACCCCACGGCTTTTATTTGAACAACCTTGGTAGACACTCACTAGAAGATGTTTCATGCCAAATATCTAAGCTCTAGCTCTTTGGGTTTTTTAGAAGAAGATGTTTAAAGTTTTTTCTTTTGGTTGCCATGGCAATCAGAGTTCTGCATGGAATGGAATTCTTTGAACAACTTTGTTAAGGCTTCACACAAGGAACATCCCTGTGAAGTTTCATTATGATCTGCCTTATGGTTTCAGAGGAGATGTCATTTGAAAAGTGTGAACGGACAACGGACGGACGACGTACGACGGAAGACAGACGACGGACGAAAAGTGATCCTAATAGCTCACCCTGAGCATATGCTCAGGTGAGCTAAAAATGAAAGAAATTCATCTTCTTATGTATTGACATTGAGTGGAACATGCCCCAAATAATCGATAAACCAAGTAAATATAGTATGGGAATATTTTGTTCCTAAACATTTTATTCAAGTTTACGTACAATATTCATTAACAGAGGCATTTTCTTTCAAAATTGTTTTGAAAAATTACCATATGGTAATGAAAAAAATTCAATTTTGCTGTTTTTAAATATTGGCAAAATTTTTCATCAGTCATAGATTTATACACTTTAACTAGTTTTGTAGGAGATGTTTAAAGGTTTTCCTATTTTTAGCTCTCTTGGCCCCTAAAAGGGGCCAACTGAAATGATATGAGCAAACTAAGGTGTGACTGTCACAAGGATGCTACAGACCATATTGGAAGTAAATCTGTCCAGCAGTTTCCGAAAAAAAGATGAATGTTGACAATGGCGATAGACGACAGAGCATCCCGCTTTGATACTAATAGCTCACCCTGAACCTTCGGTTCTGGTGAGCTAATAACAAAGTTATAGCAAAATTTAAGCAACTGAAACAAGAGGGCCATGATGGCCCTATATCGCTCATCTAAGTATCTTTGCACTTTAAGATGACAGAATTTTCATTCTTATTCTAAACACAGCACTATTTAAAACTGTGTTATATTTGTAACAATAATTTTCACTTAAAAAGTATTTCAAAATTCTATTTTATAGTTACTGTCTACAGCATGATGGAACCGTGTTAACAATTATAAACTTGCTGATAAAAAGTGACAGGTGTAATGTTAAATGGACCTTTCCTGTTTTGGGAGTGTAAAATTGAGCTCTGCCTTTTCTATTCATGGCTAGGTCAACTGCTCATAAACAGTTTCACAAACAAAACCATGTGTTCTTTTGTGTAAAATAGGTCAACCAGTGACCATGTATTCTTTCAATGGGATAGGCAGTCAGATAATTTGCATATAACTGTAAACACTGGAAAGGTCAATAGGAGAATATATTGGTCACTTGGGGTCAAAAGGCCATATTCAGGTGAGCGATAAAGGGCCATCATGGCCCTCTTGTTATTTTTCTTAACATCTAAAGAAAAAATAATGATACACATGTAATTGATGCATTCAAAATCCTTAAACTAATATATTCTTTACGCTTTCATTCTGGATAAAATTAAAGGCCAGAATTATTAGCCTCTTCCACTAGAATTCATTCAACCATTTAAAGATTAAATGGAAAAAAAAAACATGTTGCATAAAAACTATATTGCTATAGCCATTACCGTTCCCATATTGATCATAACTTTCTTATTACTGAATGGATCATCTTCAAACTTGGATATATCGAGCCTTTCAAGTTTGGACAATATATTCAAGTAGACCCGACTAAACTTGACCATGACTCATAAATGGCCTTGACCTTGAAGGTCAAACTACTGAATTTTGCCATAATTGGCTATAACTTTGTTATTAATGACTGGATTGTCATCAAATTTGGACACAAAAACCCTTTGGAAAAAATCTTCCAAGTAAACCAGACTGAACTTGACATTGGCTCATATATGGCCTTGAGTTTCAAGTTCAAATTATTGAATTTTCCTTGAATTTTGTTATAAATGGCTATAACTTTGTTATTCTTATATGGATTATGTTCATACTTGGATAAAACAGCACTTGGGACAAGACCTTCATGGTGACCAAATTAAATTTGACGTTAACCTTTATATGACCTTGACCATCAGGGTCAAATTATTGAATTTTCCTACAATTGTCATGATTTTGTTAATTACTGTATGGACTGATTTGAATTATACTTGGGAAAAATAATGCTTATGACAAAACCAACATTTTGAATACTTAAGCTATGAGCGAGACCTTAATATGATTTTGACGGTCAATGTCAAATTATTGAATTTCGTTAAAACTGGCATAATTTTTTTATTTATAGACATATTTGATTTACACTTGGACAAAACAACATTTATGACTAAACCAACATTTTGAATCCTTCAGCTGTGACCTTTACCTTGTTATGACCTTGAATTTTGCTAAAATTGCAATAACTTTGTGATTAATGGACAGATTTGATTAATACATGTATAAAGGGATGGTAATTATGGTAGAACTGAGTACATATCCCTGACAATATTATAATTTAAATCAAGAAATCAGAAGTAAGTATCTTGTTCAACCAAAGATGTTTTAACAGATTCACTGTACAACATTATGAATACTATTTACCCATAGAAGTGTCCCCGTAATCCCCCAATAATCTTTCCTTGCAGCCACAATTACAATATGCATCTTTTATCCTTCCTTTGCTAATATTGTCTAATGTATAATTTGAACCAACAGCAAGCTTTGAAAACAAATGATGTGCCACTCTTGCAGTCCACTCAGTTTCACTGATATCTTTTTTGCCTTGAGAAAGTGATTTCCCTGTCAACTCTAAAAAAAAACAAAGCAAAATTTTAATGTCATTAAAAGCCATAGAACAACAGCCATAGCCGGGTGGGGGCAACGCTCGACTTTTTTTCTAATAGTAAATAAACAAGAGACCATCAAAGATGGGTGATGCTCCCCGAATGGGTACTTTTTCATAAAAAAGGTTAGTTGTCTAATTATTGAGGTGAATTTTGAGAATGGTAGTGACCCAAATGTTGCACGTGACACATTGTCTCAATATGGTGATTATTTCTGTGAAATAGTTGTAAAATCCGACTTCAAATAAAAAAGTTATTGGCCAGACACTATTTTGCTGCAAGGTCAAGCTGTGACCTTGACCTTCAAGGTAGCGACCCAAATGTTGTGCACAACACATCGTCTCAATATGGTGATCATTTCTGTGAAATAGTTATAAAATCAGACTTCAAACAACAAAGTTATGGACCAGACACGATTTTGCTGCAAGGTCATACTGCGACCTTGACCTTCAAGGTAGCGACCCAAATGTACCACCCGACACATTGTCTCAATATGGTGATCATTTCTGTGAAATAGTTATAAAATCAGACTTCAAACAACAAAGTTATGGACCAGACACGATTTTGCTGCAAGGTCATACTGCGACCTTGACCTTCAAGGTAGCGACCCAAATGTACCACCCGACACATTGTCTCAATATGGTGATCATTTCTGTGAAATAGTTATAAAATCCAACTTCAAATAATAAAGTTATGGGCCGGACACAATTTTGCTGCAAGGTCATGCTGTGACCTTAAACTTCAAGGTAGTGACCCAAATGTTGTGCAGGACATGTCAACTCAATATTGTGATCATTTCAGTGAAATAGTTGTTAAATCTGACTTCAAATAACGAAGTTATGGGCTGGACATGATTTTGTTGCAAGGTCATGCTGTGACCTTGACCTTGAAGGTAGCCACCCAAATTTGCTTGTGACACTTCGTCTCAATATGTTGATCATTTCTGTGAAATAGTTGTAAAATCCGACTTCAAATAACAAAGTTATGGGCTGGACATGATTATGCTGCAAGGTCATGCTGTGACCTTGACCTTCAAAGTAGCGACCCAAATGTTGTGCGAGACACGTCGTCTCAATATGGTGATCATTTCTGTGAAATATTTTTAAAATCCAACTTCAAATAACAAAGTTATGGGCCGGACATGATTATGCTGCAAGGTCATGCTGTGACCTTGACCTTCAAGGTAGCGACCCAAATGTTATCATTTCTGTGAAATATTTTTAAAATCCGACTTCAAGAAACGAAGTTATGAGCCGGACACGAATTCGGGACGTACGTACGTACGGACGGACGGACAACCCGGCGACTATATGCTCCCCCGAAAAAAATTTTCGGGGAGCATAATAAAAGATGTAATGAAAATTAAATGAAATTAAAGAACTAAACAAGAGTTCTGTTCCGAGGAAGGCTATACACCTGATACAACATCAGATTATCAATTCTCACAGAAGATGAGTTTACATAAATGCATCAGAGGAAATATAAGTATGCAAAATGATTTTAAGTACCTAAACAAAAATAATAGTATACAGGAACTACTTGCATCCTAGAAGCCTGTGCTAGTTGAGAGGGGTAAATGTTTCAATTTTCTTAATACTATACACATAAGGAAAATTATCAACTCCAAGTTAATAAAAAACAAATTTGAAAGTAGTCCACTATAGAAAACACTCTTTTTTCAAACACTTACATATAATGAAGATCACTGCACCTACTGATATTAGTATAACTTGAAAATGAATGGGGAAAGGAGAAAAAGATTCTTTTGTGATTTCTAATGTTTTATAGGTTAAATGTTGACAAATAAATGATAATTACAGTCGAAAATTGTATCCAGTGAGATAAAACAAGAGGGCCATAATGGCCCTGAATCGCTCACCAGAAATTATTGGTTTTTATACAGTACATTCACTTACATTATATTTTTATTTGTGAGAATGTATTTGAGTATTTAGAAGCTGTACCATATGAGTAAGCAGCCAAGCACACTATTTTTTTTTGTATAATTTGGTGCAAAACATTGATGATAATGATAATTTATATATAACCAGTGTAGACATAGATTATTCTTCATGAAATGTCCAATCACTAACATATGTTCTATTTGGTCACATCCATTACGTATACATGTACTTGTACAATAATAAAAAGCCATTTGTACAGGATATGAGCTTTTTAGTGAAATCCTCTTTAACTTGATATAAGTGAAGTGTTTTAATGTAAATCAGTGGTCTACAAAAGGCTACATCCCTACCAGTCTACCAGTCATGAATTTTTGTGTTAAGTTCACATAATATTCTTTTTCATTTATACTGATTCATTTCTGTCATAATATATTACTTAAAATGGCATTATGCTTATCCAATGGTATATAGCAGTGTTTCTGCCAGGCTAGATTTTTTGGGGGGGCATGTGTGACCCTCTGCATAAAAATATGGGGGTCATTTGGAATTATTAAGGGTCATATTTCAAAAAAGTAAAAACTACAAAAAACAAATGTTAGAGATGTTTCATTTCACATATTCTCACAATTGCAGATGAGCCACAAAATAAAAAATAAAAAAATATCTCTACGATTTTTGTCTCCCCTTAAAAAGTAAATCAAATGTAAATACATCTGACAATACAGATCAAGCAGTTTTTCCACTTTCCGCTCAGTCACCGCGGCGAGCTAGAAATCGCGGGGGAGATACTATGGTCAGTTTCGACGACAAATCACCGGGCAGGCAATAAAACAACACCGCAATCCACTATGGAAACTCACAGGGATTCTCCGTGATCAATTTGCATATACTGTGCATGTAAATGTTCACTTTGCCTTGTTAGAAAAAACAAAAAAAAAACACTTATCTATTGTTTAAAAAACAGCCGTAAAATCGTCTGTGTATGTATAAAAATCGGTTGTTTTGAAGTTCCATTTGGGTAAAAAATAAATCACAATCACGTTTAATAATATGCCAATAATTGACACGATAATTATCAAACATTTTTTTTTTACTTTTGAGCAATAATTAAGCACGTGTATTTTTTTTCTGGACAAAAAAAAGATAACAAAGGGTTGAAGCCAAGTTGAGTGTCCGCACTTCTTTGAAGATTCCGCAGTCAACACATGTGTAAACATCAAAGATTGACAGATTCTTTTGAAAAGCTACTTAGTCTGCGAGTGTTTTCGTGTATTTTAGCGCTGGTGAATACCTGTAATAAATTGATAAATGGTCACCCGAGTGAGCGAAATATCGCTGCAATATTTCACAGTGATCCGCAGTGACGATATCCCGCAGCGCTTTGGGTGTAGGAGCGGAAAGTCACAACTGTCGTAGCGACGTCGCGGTGACAATCCACCCGTAAAAAATTGCGTGGATCTGCGGACTTTGGAAAAATTGTTAAAGCTGTAGTCTGTATATCTGATTGGCTATGGTGAAATTCTTGCGTCACAAAATACGCACTTACTAAATTTCATTGCGTCATGGCCGAAAAAAGTGCGCCAAAAACGCGCTCTGGCAGAAACACTGATATAGTGAGTGAAAAAGATTAAATCAAAGTAAGTTTTACATTTTGCTATAATTCCTTTTCATTTTATAACTAATTAAGCATGACTGACTAATAGCTAACATGACAAGAGGAAATTTCTATAAAATAACCAAAATGTGTCTATAACAAGAGTAGAGCATTCTTTTTACATTTAAGGCAGATTATGTATTTTATCCTTAGCATTATCCAGTATCAATTATTGGTCAATCACCATTATATCATAATCAGTCAATCTTTTGAAATCTATAGCTAATCAAGGTCAACTTGACAGTGAAAAATTGAGCATAATGACACTTAAATTTCAATAAGAATAAATCTTATTTCATTTGTGGTAAAATTAGGAATCTGTCCATATGATTATGCTGTTCTATGTAAATATTATGTCATTTATTGTAATTCAAGGTTTTATCATTGTTCATTTATTTTAATCAATAACTTAAAAATATCATCCTAAGACCAAGGGAGACAATCTTGATAAGTCTATAGCTTTGCTTGACAGCTAAATAGGAGCTAATTAGTTTTGTCATTTTTACAAGTATTTAGGAATTCAAATGAGAATTTTCTTTGTTTCTTAATTATTAACAGTAAAAATCATATGTATCTTTAATAATACTTTATTTTATGCGAATAAAATTTAGTTTTAAAAACATTTTAAGGGAATTACTTTCTTGAGCCTTGAGGGATATGCTATTTATAAAATTAGGGATTTATCATGTATCACTTTTTGTTTAAGACAATGATTTGCTTAAACAATCATTTATTTACAATTTGGTATTGAAACTATGATAAGTTTCCTATTTAGTTTTATTTTATATTATGTATTGGTGTTTTTTAAGAGTGAAAATTACAGAATTCTAATTTATAGATTTGAGTGATCAAACTTGAATAACCTATTTTAGACTTCATGAACTAATCCAAAGTTTGTTCCGTTTTTGTAAGGGATTATAAGAAAACAGTCAGTCATTGTTTCTATGTTCATTATCAAATAGCCTTGCATTTGTTTGATGCATATATATTGAAAATACACTTTTGCCAGCAAAAATATGTGAATTTAGTAATTATGCCAATCTTTTACAACCTATTTAAATGAAAGTCCATTATGGAAATTTTTTAATTGGTTTGTTGAGGTTTTGCAGCATTTTATGTGTCATACATAGGGATGCAGACCCTGTTTTCAGCAGAATTTTGGCAACACTTTAGTTAATACATTAACTTTAAAGATAGGAACATCTAGGAAATTATAGAAAATTAAGTTAATATTTTTTGGCATTCTGTTAAATTAATATATACAATAAGATCCTTATATAATTCTATTGGCATGTTTTGTCTCTAGCATGAATTTAAAAGCTTAGTGACAGCAGGGACTTAATAATGTCACTGTTTATATTACAGATAAGTGACTTTGTGAGTAAGAGGTTTTACACAAAGATTACTACAATGCCTGTTGCAATATGCGAGAATATGCAGTTGGTACAATGTAGCCTGAAAGGTGAGCCTGTGAGCCTTCCATTAGCCAACTGGTATTCTCCAGCCGAAAAACTACTTTCCCTGATCTCAGCTGTCTGTTTTTTATTAAATAAAATATCTTTAAAGGGGCCAACCAAATTAAATTGAGAAAACTTGATAAAAGGCGATCAAAGAATGCAACAGATATACAACTTTCTGATAATCCTTCAATTATTTTAGTAGAAGGTTATTAAAGATTATATCTATTTTTCCCTAAACTAATTTGAAAAAAAAGACCATCTAAGAAACTATAAAGTTTGGTAGTTTAATCCCATCAGTTTTTTTTTTTCACCTTGATATTGGTGACACTGACCTTGACCCAAATGACCCCTTACTACACCCAAAAAAGGAGGACCTCCCTTGGCATGTTTGTATTAAACATGAAAGACATCAACTAATAAATAAAGGCTGTATGAGCAAAAATTTTAAATTTATTTTTTACACCAGTGACCTTGACCTTGACCCTAAAGACCTCTTACTCCAAAAAAAATTAGAGGACCATCAAAGATATCCACCTACTAAATATGAAAGATATCATTAAATAAATTAAGCAATTAGGAGAAATTTAAGATAAATCCAACTTGCCAGAATAGGTTAACCAGACCTATTTTCAAAGTGAAAAAAGGGAAATAACTGGGAAATATGGATGACACAGTTATATAACTTGGCAATATCATGTACTTTGTAATGATAAGTGTGGAAATTATAAAGCCATTAGTATAGATAGAACTTAAGATATTTCCAACTTGCCGTTTTAGGTTAACCATTATTCATTTTCTAAGTGCTGAAAAGGGCAATAACTTGGAAAATATGAAAGCCATAGTTATGTAACTTGCCCAGATTATGTACTTTGTATTGATTAGTAAGTGTGTAAACTTAGAAGCCATTGGTAGAAGTAGAACTTAAGAAAAATCCAACTTGCCGTTCTAGGTTAACCTCGTACTGACAGACGGACAGACAGAAAGACGGTTCAATTACTATATGCCCGGGGGCATAAAAAAACATTCACACAAAGGTATTGCCATATACATATTTTTTTGGAAAAATTTTTCGGTCAGACAAAAGTTGTTTTGGTCAGACAAAAATTGAAAGTTTGTCTGACCGAATGTCAGGCAAATTTTTCAGCAGTTTCGCGAAGCCTGATAAGACACAGTAGATCTAAATACAACTTGATTGAAACGGAACATTTTCGTTTACTTCTACTTACGCTTTAAACCGATAAATCAAGTAAAATTAGAAATCCTATTTATAGAACCAAACTGGGATTACCGAAGTAGCTAAAAGTAGCTTAGATTTCCGTAATATCACTTCGTCTGATTCTGCAGTATCACTGAATCGCCCGAATTGTCACGATTGCAGCGGTTTCTCGTTCCATCATGCACTAACAAATGTAAGCAGGAAACCACCTAACCGGAACAACTTTTCCAAAACAAATGGCTTGCGGCAATAAAAGCATTACTTGTCATCAATAAAGCTTTACTGGGTTGGTGGGATTGAATAAATTATATGCATAACAATTTCTGGGGGGTCCAGACCGCGAGATCGCGGATGAATCCGACCGCGGAAGGAACTGGTTTATCAGGAGGCCATATAGGACATATACAGAACGTATACCCCACCCATTGCTTTTTGTACTTAGTACATAAACATATACAACGATTGATTAGTTCATTATTTCATAACATAAATGACATTAACAAATTATTGATTATTTTTTCAATTGAATTATATCGTTGCTTTACTTTGTTTTTACCTAAATTATAAAATTTCTTCTGACAGAAAAATATATAAATAGTGTCACGTCTATTGTTTATACAAAGGGAGACTACTATAATTGACTAACAATTTGAAGGTTATGAATAGCTTGTTTGCATTTTGTTTGCACCGCGATAATTATGGCAAACAACGAATCACAGTTAACGGCAATAGCTTAAACTCCTTTTCTACATCGAAGGCCATTGCCTAGGGCGTGTACATTTCGACAGACACGGATTAAAACAACACGATGACACATTCAACCTATATCAGTTTTGTTTGTCTATTCAATATCATTGCCCGGGGACATACTCAAGGGGCTTTACTGCTGTTCGCGAGAGCAGACGGAATAACGCGATATTATTCAAGTAAATCGCGTAAAATACGATTTTTATAGTAAAAATTACATTTTTTTTTCGGGGTCCACGGTCCCATCGCTTTATAATGGATATCGCGTTATAACCGATCGCGAGTTACAGGAGTTGCTGTGTACAGACAAATTTTATTAATTGGATCCAATCAAAAATATATATGTTAAGTTTATAAGATTCAAGTGGTCTGACTATGATGATATATGTAGGAACTAGTATTAACCTGTAATTTACATATTGTCAACCTAAACGAATAAATTTCGATTATTTTCCGATTGATAATCGATTGTCATTATGAAGTTTGATTTGATCATCGATTATGAAATTTGTCCGATTATCCAACACTAACAGAAATAAAAAGCTTGAATATATAAATGTTTTTGACTACTCTACTTCTCAACTATTATTTTCAGCAGAGACCTAGCTAGATTTATTAATCTTGGTTCCTGTTGTTTGACATGAAATATAACAAAACTGTAAGTACATACAAAGACAACTTAAAAGTATATACCAACCAAATCACAGTACATGTAATTGACTAAAATATGTATCAGTTAGTTTTTGTTAGATTTGAAGGATAAATTATAAATGGAAAAACATTTTTATTCAAAGTGCATTGTCCTTAGTTTATTATGCCTTTGGAATAAGACTGTGTTAACAAGCTTGTTCTTCATATTTTGTTTAGATCTGTTCTTGCATGAGAAAGTAACACCCAGGTCAGTGTACAAATTAAGAAAAAATTATTTCATGTTATGAATTCCTTTTCTTTTTTTAATGAGTTCTCTGCTGAACAATAACATGTCCGAAACAGTTGCATCGGAAATTTATAATTGTTCCACACAATAAATGCCTATTTGTCATGTAAACATAAATCAACAGTTTATTTTTGATTTGACAGCAAGAAAAAGATATTTTCAAACCATTAAATTGAATAGTGTCCATTATCAGCAAATATTGAAATGTTTTATAGTAAAACTGCAGTACCTGCCAAAATCGGCAGTTTCACTTTGTGTAAGTTTACAGTAGATTAATCAATTTATTAAAGACTGTTTGCTGTTTTATTTCAATCTTTTATTGTGTTTGCTATTGAAAAATAACAGTTGCAATGGAGGATCAGTCTTTGTAAAAATCTACTCTCAATTTTTTTGCAAGGAATCAATTAAAGCCGTGGTTTTTGCTTACCACGAGTAAACATTGTCAGTTCACACATTTCATTGCTTTCTAGAGGTAAATGAAACAAAGCTGCCTGATCATCCTATCTTCATTTCTTTTTCAACTTTTGTGCCCCAAACAACATCAAAGGGAACTGCATTAATTTTAATTAAGGCGGAGTTATACGTGCCAAAATCTCCGATACGTCACAAGTTTGATATCTGGCCTTTTCATTGCTTTGAAGCCTCTGCAGTTAATGACACTGATTGACAGGTATTTTGATACAAACATGCTTCGATAGATAACATTGGTTTGTTTATTCAATGCAGATATAGTGTGTTTCTTTGATAATCAACTTATCAAGGGATGTCGGGGAGATTTAAGGATGAAGCAATTATGCCTCAAGTCCTGAAGGCATGTCACATGCGACATGCGATAATAGGCTAGAACCCTGAAATATGACTAAATATTTTTTAACTATCTATTAAGTAAAGAAACACAACAAATTTGTTTATTTCATCTTCTAATTTTCAGATTATTTCATCAAAATTAAATTACAAAAAATTGGGGGGGGGGGGGGGGGGGGGTGTGAATTGTCTGAGGCATTTTTCCAATAAGAGGGTGAACTGTCTGGCGGATGAATTGTCTGAAAAAACTGGCTGGGTGGGAATCATCTGGGGGTGAATAATTTGTCTGTAAGCCGCTTCACCCCTGATAGCAAATGTCACAATGTGAAATATGAAAAGTTAAAAGCAACCTTTTTTCAGGTCTAATTAGATCTATTGGGCTTACCTATATCTGACAAAAACTTCAGTAGCTTTGCCAAAGCTAATCTGGCACCTCTTCTTTGAGGTATGCATTCAGGGGATTTGATGTAAGCCTCCAACATTTTAAATCCATATTGAAAAATACCACGTATTTTAAATCCTCTAGGTACAGAAGAACTGGGTTTACGAAACTGTTCACAATCGCAAGTTGCGCTAGAAAAACATTTGGAACTTGCGGCATTGCAAACTTTAATTTTTATGATTCCAACTCCATAACAAGACAGATGACTGTTAAAAACATCTAATGCATACTTTAAAGTTTGCAAATTATCTTTATGAAACGACATAAAAAGTTCATCATTCTCGTCTTTGATCTTCAATCTTTTAACTGGCGGAGCATCTCCAGCCGCCATATTGGATAGCCAAATCTATCGTCACGTGACGGGTTGCTATAGAATGCGAAATGGACTCCATTTCGCGAAATGGACGTATGGCCTACGAAATGGACATTTGTTTTGCAAGTTATGGTTTAACAGAGGGAAATAATATCATTTTTAATAGCTAACGTTCAACATATGACATAAAGCTACAGACTGAACTATTTGATAGTACAACTTTCTTTATAATTCTAAAAAATAATCGCATCTGGTCCCTACGAAATGGAATTTTTGAGCTCGAATTGAGTTTTCGCTTACGGAATGGACATTTGTTTTACAAATTATGGTGTAACTGTTGTGAGTAGTATCATTTCTATTAACTTACGTTAAACATATTATATAAAACTGTAAACTGTTCTATGTGGCATTACAATTTCTCCGTTTTTTATTATTTTGTTAAGTAAATGGCCTTTACGAAATGGAATTTTGTCCCGCGCACAAATAGAGTTATCAAGCTACGAAATAGACACCTTTTTTAATTTTGGACTTAATGGAGATCGCTACAACTGACGTAGATAATATAACATAAAACTTCAAATTTAATTAATTAGTTGAATTATTTTAAAATTAAAATTAAAAAAGGGTTCCTTTTTCTGTTAGAGCGAGTCAAATTGTTTAGTTTTTCATATCATTTATACCATCTACTAGTAAATGTTATTTGCATATTGAACTTTACTAAATCTAGGTTGTGTATAATTTTTGTATTCATAAACTGAATTGCAACTGTATTCACATACCCATCCTCCTTCTCCATGTGATAAATATTATTTTTTACCGTGGCGTGCGTGTGTGTGTTGGTGTACGTGTGCGCTGGAACATACGATACGATACGGGGACGGGAAACACAGAGATTATCGCTCCTTATGTTTTCGTCCAATCAGGAATCAGCGCCGCCATTTTACAATTTTAGTTCAAAGCAGAGGAAATGTTCGGTCAGAAAATCGATCGGTATGTTTACTTAATGGGGTTAAAGTCCCCAGAAAGTTATAGTACATCCCAGGTGTGCGTGCGTGTGTATGTGTGTGTGTTTACTTTCTCCCACTATGTTATGCACTAATTTCAATATTCCTATGTATGCCATTGTCATGTGATTGTAAATTTGTATCATATATTATTTGTTATAACGAAAAGCTTGTAAAAGTTTAAGTTAATAAAGTATCTATCTATCTATCTAATATTAATTATTGCAATTACACGGCGCAATTAAACCATATTTTTACCTACAAATGTCCATTTCGTATGCGAAAACTCCATGTCGTAGGGACCAGATACAATCATTTTGAAATAAAGAAACATGAATTAGAAACTAGTTTTTACAGGTAGTTTAATCTGTATTTTAATATCATATATTACATGTCCGTTATTAAAAATGATATTAGTTATTGCAATTAAAGCATATTTTAACCTACAATTGTCCATTTCATAGGCAAAAACTCCATTTCGTAGACACCAGACACTATTTTTTTTAAATATACGAGCATAAAAAGTTTTTTTTATTATATTTGTAATTCTATGTCATATAATACATGTTCGTTTTTAAAAAATGATATTAACTATTGTAATTAATCCATATTTTAACCTATAAGAGTCATTCCGTAGGCGAAAACTCATTTTGTAGATACAAGATACGATTATTTCTAAATATACGAGAGATCTATAACGATTATTTTTGAATATACGAGTATGAATAAGTTTTACAAAATATTTGAAATTGCATGTCATATAATACATGTTCGTTTTTAAAACTGATATTAACTATTGCAATTAAACCATATTTTAACCTACAAATGTCCATTTCGTAGGGACCAGATACGATTATATTTTTCTAGAATTACAAGTAAAGAAGAACATGTTCTATTAAATCGTTCAGTCTGTAGCTTTTATGTAATATGTTGAACACTAGTTATAAAAATGATATTATTTCTCTCTGTTGAACCATAACTTGCAAAACAAATGTCCATTTCGTAGGCGATAAGTCCATTTCGCGAAATGGAGTCCATTTCGCATTCTATTACTACCGTCACGTGACTACCGGAGTTCGTGACTTTTTTGTAAACCAATCCAGTGAAATCACGTGCGAGATGTAAAATGTGTATATAAACTTGTTATTCGTCATCATTGTTATTGCATGTATTGTAATACAAAATGTAAGTCTTTTATGTGGGTGGGGGAAAATCCCGGGATCCGGGACGCCCTGGATCCGGGATCGTAAGATATATAGGGAAAACTAATAAACTATATTTTTGATGGTTTTTACCGTAATGAAAGGCGATTAAACGTTAACTTTTTATTTTTTATTGTATTTAATGACCGGTAAATTAATTTTACTTAAGATATAAATATATTTAATATACTTAAAATGCGGAAATCACAATACTTATATTTGCCTAATTGGAGAATATATTAAACTTCTATCATTAAAAAAACAAAGTGTTGTCCCCAGACATTTGTTGTACAGTACTGTACGTATGTATCCGCGAAAATCATAAATTACAAAAATATATCATAGCCATCAAGACTAAAAAAGTAACTAAACAACATTAAACCTGTCAGCATTTCATATCACAAGCATATCCTTGACAAAAGGTATGAAATAATCGATAATTTATCGATGACACCGATAGCAGGTGGTCAATTCCCGGGTTTACTATATGTTTAATACGATCCCGGATCCCGGCTTTTCTATAGGCGATCCCGGGATTTTCCCCCCACCTTTTATGTGTCTTATTGTTTAATAAAGGTTATCAATTTAAGCAAGGTTTGCGTTTTATACAAACAGTGACATTGTAATATCCCGATAATTGGTCAATTATCACCTGCGTAAATCGACACAGTTATAAATAATTTCTTGAAAAAAAAAGTAATAAACTACTCTAATATATGTTACATAGAAGGGTTTTAGATTGAAATATTATAAAGAAAACCAAATGTATCGACATATAAATACTTTATTTACTCACGGTCCGCCTCGTCTCGAGTCACGGTCCGCCCTGTCCCAAAATATGGTCCGCCTAGTCTGGACTCACGGTCCGCCCTGGATGGTCCGCCCTGTCTCACGGTCCGCCATGTCCTCAGACAGGAAATATTATTTAGTTTACTTTAGGAATTAAACACATTTCAATCAATGAATCCCGTACACTCACTCATAATGACATATGATTCATGTTCCTTTTCTTATAATATCAACATATTGACTCAACAATTTTCAAGTTCATTAACAACTTTTGTGAAGAAGAATGTTGCTGATGCTTTTCTGTCCAATTAAAATGACCCAAAAAGAAAAGTACGATCCGTTTTAAGGTGTAAAGCTGGAATCACGAATACTTTTCACCTACTCATTTAATGGTAGATATAGATTGAGATAATATCCTTTCACTTATTAAGACACATACTCACAATAACAATATATGAATCCCAATATATACTATCAGTAATAGAAACTAAAACAAATTATACTGACTATAATCATTCTGTAGAATTTATATTAAAAAGAACACATAGAATCTTGAACAGGAAAGAAGTGAACAATAAATCAACTTCTAAACAACTGCTAAATAAATGCGCAAATACAATCTTTAAAAAGCAAACTAAGAAAACAGAACAATGACGCATCTTTGTTTAAAGGTATACTTAAAAAATTAAAATGTTGTGTGATGTTTATTTTATAACTTTATCACTTGGGAATGATTAAATCATTACAAATATTCCTATAGCACAAACGGCCGGAATTATGGCTACGAATTTTTGAGAGAAAAAACATAAGGTAAAAATAACAATAACAATAAAAACACTTAATCAACTTTGAAAGACACTTCCAAATTAATGCGCAAATATAATCTTTAAAACGTAAAGTGAGAAAACAGTACAAGGGCGCATCTTTTCTAAAAATTATAGTTAAAAACACTTAAAATATGGTGTGATATTGATAATTTCATACCGTTATCAGTAATGAATAATAAGAATATTACAAATATTTCTTTAGCGTCGGTTATTGAAAATATTGCTACGCATGTTATGTATAAGGAAACATAAGGCTAACACAAAAACAGTAACAATAAAAAGAAGAAAACCACACAGAAAACAAACTAAGAACCCATTATTGAGACGAATTTTCAAGAATTCATTTTTATTATAAGAAATGAAACTGCAGATTTTTCTTCAGTCAATCATTAATAACTTTAAGCGAATTTTTTTTCGTTTTTTACTTTTTCGTTACTGATTATTACTTATGTGGATATAAATATTTACATTTCAAGCTGGATTTATCAAATTTATTGAATTTTAAAACTAAGACTACATCAGTTGACGAAGTTTTATGAGAAAAAAATATTAAAAAAAAAAAACAACAATAAGATTTGTTTTCTCCTATAAAGTGTTTGATCTATTTCAATTAATCAACAAATTCCTAAATGTATTGTTGTTTATAATTTTTATTTAAAAACCTACACAATGGCGAATTATATCTTAAAACATGTAAAACACGATTTAGGATTATACAGTGCAAAGTCAGCACAAGGACGAATTCAATTTTCAACATTTATTTTCTTATCATGACTCTCAAACATACATATTATTTAGTTTACTTTAAGAATTACACAGATATCAATCAATGAACCCCGTACACTCATTCATAATAAATCTTTCAGGTTCCTTTTCTTATAATATCAAGATATTGGCTCAAACATTTTAAAGTTCATTAACAACGACTGTGTAGTAGTATGTTGTTGATGCTTATCTTTCTAATTAAAATGACTCAAAATAAAACTTAGATCCGTTTTAAGGTATATGTTTTGTATATTGATAATTGAAGCTAAATTCTTTTCACCTACTTATTAGATGATGCCTATAGATCAATTTTATATCCTTTACTTATCAAAACGACTGCATGCAATTACAAATAAAGAATCCCGTACAAGAACAGAAGCAAATATTTCCTTAACTAGTATTTATTCTGTAGAATATGTTAAAATAATAATAAAGTAAAGAAGTGCACCC